GATTATCCGGTTATCCATTCATAGTTGGTGATAATCGATTAAATGACCAACTAACCGGTCAATATTTTCGTCTAATCAGTTGGTCAAATCCGGATGATTTGACTACGGATTGAACGATTCGGATCTCTAACTCATTTTCAATGGTCAATGAGGTGAATGTATGTGCCAATGTTTTATGTCTAAAAATCTCATAAATATACACTTTTCTTATTAAGACATTACGAATTGACGTATGATTTTTTATTAAAGAGTTTTAAATTACTCAATTAATTTTTCCATCAATGCCTCAAGAATTTCATAGTTTGCGTGCAGTGCGTGCTTTTCTTCGAGTTTTTTCTCGGATTGAAAGATTTTGTTGTGAAATTGGAGTAAACTCCATTTGTGAAAATTGAAAATTTTTCTGTTTCAGAATTTTATTACGGGTTTAACTATCCTTCATAACATGTCTGATCACACAAAAAATATGGTTCTGGTTGTAATATTGATCACCCAATAGAATTCGATGTTATGTCACGTCACGCGTGTTACACAATCATTTAAACATTTCAAAATTCACCAAATATAAAATCAATTGATGTTACACTAAAATGTTTTATGTGAAATTATGCAACAATAATTATATACCATATTTGGTAAGTTATTTAATTCAACACCGCAATCAAAAATAGGAACATAGATTTGGAGTACAAAGATTTAATATAACTGCTGCTCTTTTTGTTTTCACAGCTCATCATGTCAAACCCCATTTTAGCCGCAACACTTAGTGCTATTACAAATCAGAATATTATTACTTATGACGACTATTTAAAGGGTAATGGAGGTTATTGCAATGAATTGGATCAAAAGTCTCTTCATCAGTCTTATTTAGTCGGTGGTAGGGTACCTTACGCTGGAGTAAGATTAAATGGATTATGCGAAGGTGGACAATTATTCATTAAAAATTTATCTGGTATAACTATAACATTGGAAGTCAAATTTACTATGACAATTGACCTAGTAAAATCATTAATTCAAGATAGGGAACAGACCAGCAAGGATTAATTTTTGCTGGTAAAGAACTAAAAGATGGACGTACTTTGAATGAATATAATATAGAAAAGGAATCGACCTTACATTTAGTATCGAGATTGAGAGGTGGTGGCGGAAGGTTCACTAGAATTAACAGTTATGATCAAAGAGCTTTGTTCAACAGTCCCACTTTATATCTTCCTCATAATCATCTTGCTCCAAGATTCGATTATGATTTTACAAATATACATGATTATTGGAGGTCTTTGTACGAGGAAATATTAAATATAGACGTCCTTGTGGTTGGAAAAGAATCGCCCTTAATGTTCTTGACAAATATGAAGATAATATTTGGCTTGGCGTTGACGATAGATACTCTTTAACAAGTTCGGTACAAAATGAATGGCCAGGTATAATTGCATTTTTAAACAAAAATTATTTGTCATTTATTCCTATATATTAATTTAAAAATTTTTTTTTTACTTCAAAGTTTCTTATCATGGAACTGCCAAACATAATTGTAAATCAATTGCTGAAGAAGGTTATGATTTGTGTAAATGTAAACGATTCATATTTGGACATGGAATTTATTCAACACCAGATATTAACGTCGCATCTACATAAGCTACTAAATTCACTCATGAGGGATATAGATATAAAGTTGTATTTCAAAATCGAGTTAACCCAAATAATTTAGTTAGGCTTACAAAGAAAGAAACTGATGTTGGTGAATATTGGATTTCGCCAAAATGGGGCAGATTTACGTCCTTATGGTATCTGTATTAAGAAAATTTAATTGGTTTATTTTATATTTATTATTTTTTATTTTTTTTTTATATTAAATATGTTAAGTAATAAATATTTGATTCGAACCTTCGATAAAAAAAAAAAAATTGTAATTGAAAAAAAATATATTCGTAAAATGTATTAACGACTTATTTAAATGATATTGATTACGTTATTTTTTGTCCTACTTGCAAAGAAATAAGCTAGTTAATTTATTGGTAAAATTCACGTCTAATTTAGCTGGTGGTAAAGTACGCCGAAGGTAAAAGTTTCGGAATAAGTAAAGGTGGACAGTTATTCGTTTAACATTAAATACTATGACCATTGACAAATTGGCCAATTAAAGGAAATCGATCTTACATTTAGCTATGAGATTAAGATGGAGGTGGAAACCCCATTTTATATTTCACTCTAATCATCTTGTTCCTGGATTTTCTATAGATAAGAATCGATTTAATGTTCTTTACAAATATGAAAATAATATTTGGCTTGATACCGCTATAGACACTCTTTAAAAAATTTATTATTTTCATTATTTACTCATATCTATTAATTTATTTTCTATACATGGAACTTCCTAGCATAATTGCTGATGATGGTTATTTTGATTCTTGTAATTAATTCAACACCAAATATTGATGTCGTATCAAGTTGTATAAGGAAGAACCTGGTTTTGGATTTCTCCAAACGGATCAGATTTACGTCCTTAATTAGTTATTTTATTTTATAAAACTTTTTTAAATATGTTAAATATTAATCCGATATAAAAAAAAATTTTTTGTTCAAAACATGTAAATTGCTTTTATCTATTGACGATCAATCAAAAACAGACAGATGGTTTAACCAAGGTGTTTCTTCAAAATGATAATGATTAAAAATTATGTCAAATCCTCATTTAGCCGCAGATTCAGCGCTGTTACAAATCAAAACATTATTACTTTTGATGATTATGTTTAATGAAAAAATGATGATAATAATTATTACGGCGAATTAGATCAAAAATTTCTTCATCAGTCTCATTTAGTCGGTGGTATGATACCTAGCGCCAAAGTAAATAGTTTCGGACTAAATGGATTAGGTCATGGATTGGATCATCGGTGGTAGGGTACCTAACGTTGAAGTAAGATTAAATGGATTAGGCAAAGGTGGACAATTATTCGTTAACGTTAAAACATTAACTGGTAAAACCATAACATTGGAAGTCAAATCTACTATAACAATTTACAAATTAAAATCGTTAAGAAAGATTAATTTTTGCTGGTAACATATTAGAAGATGGACGTAAAGTTCATGCTCATCGGAGGTCGTATTGTCGAAGAGAACCACGAGTTTTGTAGTATGGAGGGAGAGCACTTACTGGATGAGGTCGAAGGCAAACTGGCAGAGTCAATCACGGTGGGTAACCACAATTTCCGAGACCATTCCGCGACTTGTCCATTCCAATAAGGTCTTAAGTCCTGGTCGTTTGAAGTTGACACCTGAGCTGAGTTCATAGGTTGGGAATCAGGAGCTGAGGAGTTACTTCTGCCAATCAAGGTCCTCTTTTTGCTTGACACTAGAGAGCCCGAGCATAGAGGAATCCTTTTTTTGGTGGTGGTGGAGGTGGTGGTGGTGTTATCAGCATCTTGGGAAGTCAACTCTGGAAAAATGGAAGATATGTTGTAAAGGCGAGTACCAGAAGGAGACATTTTGTCAGTAATTTTTCATTGCTTTAACCAACAACTGACGAACTGCCAAGTTTCTTAGTTGCTTGGTGTGTAATAGTAGTTTACGATTTACGATTTACGATTTATTTTTATATGATTTCATTGATAAGCATTATTAAGCAATTATTGCAACTGTATTACTAAGCAAAAAATTGTAACGGTAATAACGAAATCTACAAAAATATATACTGCGGAGAATTACGCGACTGACGATCAATTGATTTGAGACAATGGTTTATTAAAAATGATATCATAAGATTACGCTAATTTTTTGTCCTACTTGAAAAGATTTAATAGGCTAATAAAGAAATAAAAATAAATTTTTAAGTAAGGTAACCTAAACGACATTTAGTATAGATGGCGGTAGTTCACTTTATATATTCATTCTAATCATCTTGATATTAAATATAAATGAAATAAATTTTGAACGAGGAAATTTAAAATATAAACGTATAAACGTCATTGTTGTTGAAATGAATTCGCTCTTAACATATGAAGAGCACTCTTCAACAAATTTAATATTGTTATTATCTAATAATTTATTGACTAATAATTTATTATGCAAATATAATTGATGATGATGGTTATTTTTGTGCGATTCTTGTTTGGGTATGGAATTTATTCAACATCAGATATTGCAATACATTCAAGCTTTTTTTTTTAATTACAAAGGAAGCCACCAAACAAAGACTATTTTTTTAATTATTAATTAATTAGTAAATAATACCATATTTGGTTATTATTTTTTTTAATAAATTATCATTACCGTATATATCCAATTTATTAATTATTGATTCAACGTCTGCCCAAATCTAGTTAACCTGCAATCAAAAATAGGAACATGGAATGGGAGCACAAAAAAAAAATACGATTTAAATATAGGCGTTTATTTTCCACGTAAAAAAAAAAATTTCATAAACAATTTTCATGTATAAAAACCTTTGTAACTGCCGCACTTTGTGCTTTACAGCTTACCATGTCAAATCCCCTTTTAGCCGCAGCACTCAGTGCTATTACAAATCAGAATATTATTACTTATGACGACTATTTAAAGGGTAATGGAGGTTATTGTAATGAATTGGATCAAAATTCTCTACACCAATCTCATTTAGTTGGTGGTAAGGTACCTAAAGCTGAAGTTTCTCACCGTCAGCCTTATCTAGTTGGTCATAGTGCACCTACAGCCGAAAATTATTTCACTCAATCTCATTTAGTAGGTGATAGTATGCCTAAAGTGATTTTCATTAAAACGTTAGGCGGCAAAACTATAACATTAAAGACAACATATGCTACGACAATCGATCAAATAAAATCGATAATTAGAGATAAGGAAGGTATATCAATAGATCAGCAACGATTAATTTTTGCTGGCAAACAACTAGAAGATGGACGTACTTTGAATGACTACAATATAACAAAAGAATCGACCATATTTCTGGTATTGAGATTGAGAGGTGGCTGTCCCACTTTATATCTTCTTCCTAATCATCTTACTCCAAGATTCGATTATGATTTTACAAATATAAACGACAACGGAAAAACTCACATGAGAGGAAAATTTGAATACAAACGCCCTTGTGGTTGGATGAGAATTGCTCTTAATGTTCTTAACAAGTATGAAAATAATGATTGGCTTGGTGCTGGCGTTAGAATACATATAATGAGTCCGGTACAAAATGAATGGCCAGGTATGATTACATTTTTTTTTTTTTTATTAATCTTTTGTCATTATTTTATTTCTATTATATGTATTAACTTAAAATTTTCTTTAATTCGATAATTTCAAAGTTTCTTATCATGGTACTGCAAAGCATAATTGTAAATCAATTGCTGAGGAAGGTTATGATTTATGTAAGGGTAAACGATTCGCATTTGGGCATGGAATTTATTCAACACCAGATATTGAAGTCGCAGCTATATATGCTACTGATTTCATTCATGAGGGACATAGATATAAAGTTGTATTTCAAAATCGGGTTAATCCAAATAATTTAGTTAGAGTTACAATGGAAAAAACTAGTGTTGGTGAATTTTGGATTTCACCAAGCGGATCAGACATTCGCCCTTATGGTATATGTATTAAGAAAGTCAATTTATTTTAATTTATTGTTTAATTAATTATTCTAATCAATATGTGTAAATTGCACGAATCTGGCTTAGTTCCAGTGCTGTCAGACACAAATAAATCTTGTTATTTATCCCAAGAAAAAAAAAGAAATTGGGCACTTGATCAACCACACAAAAACTATAAACAGTAATTTCCATGGTAAAAAAAAAAATTTCCAAAAAAAAATTTCAGCCACAGCAATCAAAGATAACCTTATTTAATGCTTTGTGATAGGTACTAAAGTTTCAAGTTTCTGGACAATTATTATTCATTAAAACATTAAGTAACAATAGAAGCTGCAACTACCATGCAGTAATTGTTCACAAGACATTACCAAACCATCAACAACTTGAAGATGAACGTAGAATCGGTCAACATATGGTTTTGAGATCAAGAGATGAATTCATTCTAATCATGATTTGAATTTACAATATAAAATGATAATGGAACAACTTAAATACGAGAAAATTTTAAACGTTCCTTTTATTATGGTTACATTATAAAAACAGATGATTCCTACTATTTTCCATAATCAATTTATTTATTTTAGGTTTGTTATAATGGTACTGCCGAAGATGGTTTGTGTAAGGGTAAACAAATTTGTATCGATATCATCTGGTTACAACATTCATTTATGAAGGAGAAGAATCGTATTAGAAAATAAATCCAAATAAAATTACGAAGGAAGAAATTGGGAGTTGGTGAACGTTGGAATCGCCAACCGGAGCAGATTTGGTATCCGTATTAAAAACTTTGAATTTTATTGGGTACTCTTGTCGTTTTTATTAAGTTTATAACTTATAAATAAAAAACGTTTTCGAAACACGCGAATTCTCAGATTATTTAAACGTTCTTAAAGTCCAAAAAAATTGATGAATCCACCCAATAGAAATTTTTTTTTTAATCACATACCTCTGCATGAGAGAATTACATATACAGATGACTAAGATTAAATGCAAATCCTCTTTAAATGACACGTTTAAATTTATTTTAATCTATAACAGTTCATATCACAGGGAATTATAATATCAACAAAAAAAAAAAAAAAAAAATATGAAACGAAACTTTAAAAAAAAAAATACTCCTGCTTCCGTATAGATAAGAAATTTTAAGAACCAGGATTGAATCATTCCGTTCAAATGTATTAACCATTTTATACAAATCTTTTTCGAGATTAAAATCTACCTTTGAAAGGGTACCCCGTTCTGATAAAGTATACGCCAATTCCTTTTAGTTTTAGTGTCGCAATACCTATACGAATCACGAAGGAATAAAAAGCGATTTTCACATACAATAAACACAAAAATGGAATTTTGTATTGCAAACTTTAAAGTAGAATCCTTGTTCAAATAAACAACCGTGAGAATATTTTGTACCTAAAGGGAATTTCATTTGGATATGATAAACGGACATAACGCTTAAAACTCCGATTTTTTTGCTTTAAATACTTGAAATAATAATAATAATAATAATAATAAAAAAAACCCCTCCTCAATACTGTCTGATAAATTTTTTTTTGTTTTTTTTTTTTTTATATCTTTTTATTTTTTTATATCTTTTTATTCTCTTTCAATTTTTGAAAACCTCAAAATTTTTAAATCTCAAAGTAAACGAAAAATGCCACCAGCATTTAATAGTCAAATTTTAGCTGCAGCAATTTCAGCTGTTTCAAAGAAATCGGTTATTTCTTATGAGGATTATAAAAACAAAACACTAGGAACAATAAATTATTTTGAATTAGATCAAAAAGTACTTCATCAAGCTCATTTAGTTGGTGGGCCCGTACAAACCTTTGGGGATGATGAATTTGATGATGATCCAAATATTGAATTCGTTTTACCAAATACAATTCTTCCATCTATCACTTACATTCCAAATTCCATCTTAATAAATCAAAATGCCATTCAATCGATTATTAACAACAATAATCCTGATCAATCATCCGCTCAACCCATCTTAAACCTTGCCATGCCACCCGCCACATCCACCACCACACCCGTTGAAAATCCTCCTCTTGAACCGACCATTGACCGTTCATTTCGTCAAATTCATGTAAGAACCTTGACGGGATTAACAATTGACTTATACCTTAACAAATCTAATACAATACAAGACATTAAAAATAGAATTCAAGATAAGGAAGGCATACCACCAGACCAACAACGTCTGATTTATGCTGGTAAACAACTTGAAGACGGTCGTACTTTAGAAGATTATCTTATACAAAATGATACTACTTTACATTTAGTATTAAGATTAAGAGGTGGAGGTGATTCTCGTCTGTTCATCCACACTCAACATCTTGATCCAGCATATGATTATGATTTCACTTATGTAAATGATAATGGAAGAACTTTTATGCGAGGTGACCACATTTATAAACGTCCTTGTGGTTGGAATAGAATCGCTCTCAATGTTCTCGACAAATATGATAATAATCTTTGGCTTGGGGTAGGTGGTGGTAAGAGAAGACATTCCACTGATTCCGTAAAGGATGAATGGCCAGGTAAACTTTTATCTTTATTATATTTATCCTTTTATTTTGTCTTTTAATAAATTGTACGTTTACCTTCTATTTTAAAACATTTTATTAGTTTCCTATCATGGCACCGCTAAATATAACTGTAATTCTATTGCTGACGATGGATTTCATTTTAGTAAAGGAAAGCGTTTCATGTTTGGACATGGAATTTATTCTACACCTGATATTGACGTGGCTGCCAAATATGCAACTAAATTTACTTATGAAGAGAATAATTACAGAGTCGTTTTTCAAAATAGAGTTAATCCAAATAATTTAGTTAGGCTTAAAAATGAAGAAACTGGATTTGGTGAATATTGGATTAGTCCTAATGGAGAAGATTTACGTCCTTATGGTATTTGTATCAAGAAAGATATATCTAGATAAAGAAAAAAAAAAAGCAAATCTGCTACATTGTATTAATTTCTTCCTTTTTGTAATTTTTTGTAATTTCGTGTGATGTAATTATTTCTCTTTTTCTATTTATATGTATATATGTATAAATAAATTATAAGTTTATTGAAATTAATAAAATGACTTTAAACTACACAATGTGCATAAACAAATTCATTTTATTTATCGGTCTTTGTTTACAAAAAAATTGATTTAATACTTTGAAAATCTCTAATATCTCCATTAAATTTATCAAAATAGATTTCACTGATCATTTATTCAACTTTGTAACCTAATCCATATTTCTCAGGTTCTAATAACTCATCCGAAACACCATGAGCAATCTTACGTAACTCGTTTCCAACCTCCTTCTTATCTTTGCCTGATAGTTCTAGATAATACTTTATCTTTGGTTCAGTTCCACTTTTAATAATAATAAAATTTCATAATCAATATTATGTTATCAAAAAGTTAACTAGAAAATCCATAAATATAATACCTTGTCCTTAATGTTAAGTTACAACCATTCTCCAAACCAAAAGTTATCATATGAGAACTTTTAGATGTAGGTAAAATAGGTTGATTATCAGGTTTACTTGTATCATACCCAATCGTTAAATCTCGAATATATGTAATTTTGTGTCCTGATAAGGTTGAAGGATATGAAAGTTGATATGGATATAAATACTATTTATAATAAAATTTGTAAACAATTAGTTTATCTAAAAAATTTTGTTTTTTACAAATATTTATTTTGTTAAATACTTACATCAGGTTTAGATGATTTGACCTAGGTAAAAAAATTATTATTAGAATAATTCAATTTAATTGTTTAAGACATTGATGAACTTACCGGATTTTCACCAAATCGAAGTTTATTAAAAATTTTATCAATAGTTTCAGGAGAATGACAAATAAAATAAGATGTTTCGGTAACAAAATACCCATACCTGTAACGTTTTTAGAAGTGAAAAAAAAATATATATATTAAACAATTAAATTAAATATTAAAAAGGTGACATTCAATCCATTCTTTAAATAAAAAATGTAACATAACATACTTTTTATACAATTCATCTAAATATTCTGAAATCGTTAATCCACGTTTATTCAATTGTACAACTAGTTCAGCAAATGTAACTAAAGCAGAAATTCCGTCTTTATCCCTTACAATTCCATCAATCATATATCCTATAGCTTCCTCATATGCAAACAAAACTTCATATCCTTGTTGAGTTAAATCGATTGCTTTGTTTCCTAACCATTTAAATCCTGTTAGCGTTTCTTCAAAATAAAATCCTTCATCTTTAGCCATCTTTTTCAACATTTTTGATGACACTGTACTTGCCAACATTGCAAGTTTATCTTTTAAGAAGAAAGAACTTTTTAATTAACAGAGAAAGAGATAAGGATATACATAAAAAAATATAAGAAATTTCTTTATCATACTGATTGGCTTTCCGTGAGCTTTATAGTTTTCTAGAACTGCAGATGCTAACATAACTCCAATCTGATCACCCGAAAATAAAATCCATTCTCCGCTATCCAAAAATAGTATTAATAATTATTTGGCGTAATAACTTAAAAATTACCAAGAACTCACTTCTTTTGCTTTTCAGATACAGAAAATCTATCAGCATCAGGATCATTAGCAAAGATAACCTCGGCATTATTTTCATCTGCTGTCTTCATGGCTATTGCCTAATAATCATGATTATATAGTCAATTTGTGGTCCAAATTCGAGAGATAACTGATGAACATCCAACATACCAATGCACCTAAATTAAGTTAGGCAATTTATTAATAAATTATTACAAATATATATATAAATATATTTTAAAGTATAACATAGTCCAAACCTCTTCCTTCCTCAGGATTTGGAAATGCGACCGTAGAGAAATCGGGATCAGGATCCTCTTGTTCTTTTGCTGATATAAAAGGATTTAATGAAAATGTTTCAAATGCTCTTTTAGCTACTGGCGTTCCTACTCCATGCATAGCTGTATAAACAAATTTAACTTTGGATGAGATATTTTCTTTACTATAAATGAAAAATTGTTAGATTAACTAAGGTTGAATAAAGATGATTATTATTACTATAAATTTATACCTATGATAAGATATTGCTTTTAATTCTTCAAAATAAGCGTCTGAAATCTCTTTTACATTATCAATACATAATGGACTATTATTAACCAATTCTGCATCCCATGTCCATGGCTCAAGATTAACTGAAATTGATTGAGAAATTCCTTTATCATGTGGTGGAACAATCTAATATGTAAAAGAGGAAATGAATTTTCCCTTTTTTTTTAAAAAAAAACTCTTATCATCCTATCTACCTGACATGCATTTTCCCAATAACTTGTAAAGATGAAAAGAAATGGAATATTTTAATATTCGGATTAAAAATATCTTAAAATCTACGAGCTAAATTTATAAATACTTACACTTTGTAACCATTATCTTTTTTGGGATTCTGCAAAATAAATTAATAATTAATTAACTAAAGATATTAACACTAAATAATTATTATCACTTACATGAGAAGCTGTTATCATGATGCCACATGAAGCTTCAAGTTTTTTGACTCCAAATGGCTATACAAAAAAAAAATAATAATTTAATTTTTTTTTTTTTTTATAAAAAGAAATTAAAGATACATACCACTAATGGAGTGTGTACCAATTCACGATAAAAATAAACTCGAAACCCTTTTTTTAGAAATGCAGCTGCTGTCAGTCTTGCGAACCTTTCAGAGTTATGTCTATGGTCATGCCCAATAACAACTCCTTTATCTACTGATGTTGGTAATACATCAAGAAGATACATGCAAAGTCCCTATAAAAAATTTGGTATAGATCTAAGAATCAAATCTATATTTTCATTAAAGATAAAGATTTACCTGAGAAGCCTGGATTACTGTAAGATCATTCATTCTTGAAAATCCAGCTTCCATACTTGATCTTAAACCTAATAATAAAGAATTTAAATAAAAAAAATTTGTATTTTGTTTATTGAAAAATGGTTTCATTACAAGTACCTGCAGTTCCAAATGATATTCTTTTTCGAAGTCGTTTTTCTAATTCTTCGACATTTTGATCTGCATATAATTTTTCAATTTCTAATCTTGTCGTTGGATTCTTATAAAAAAAAAAAAAAAATTTTTAAATAAAAAAAAATTTATTTATTTAATAAATGATATAAACATACCTTATCTAAGCGAAGCCATTCTTTTACAAGAGAATCGATTGAAGCCATTGCGAGAAAAAAATTTAAGAAAGGGGAAAGCAAATATACAAAAAAATCGATCGATTTAATTTATCTAAATAAGTTTAAGTTTTTGGTATTTTCATGTGAAATACGAGTATCTGTTTGCTTATCGGAATTATTTTATTTACAATTTAGGTCACACCAAACTTGAACATAAGTAAATGAAAATAAGGGGAATAAAAAAAATATAAATTATATATATTTATATATAAATAATATAAATAATATAATCACATTTCAAAATGTTATAATTTTATTGGTTATTCTATTATAACCATTATAAATCTATGTTATATATCATTTGAAACATGTTGATTAGATTTAATCTCTCCTTTAATATAGAAATCTTTTTTATTTTTATAATATATTTCACATAATAGATTATTTATTTAAAACATTATAATTATTAAATTCGTATTTTACAAATATATAATGTTTTATGAATTTAATAGAGCTATACCTATTTAATGTATTCTGCTACTCACTATTAAGAGAATTTGTTTTACAAATTATTTTAGTTGTCTAAAAATCTATGTATTTGTATATTACTTTTCTTCTTCTTTATCATAATAATTTTTCATTATTTATATTTTTTTTTATTTTTTTTTCAAATATTTTGTAATATCTTTCATCATTTTATTCTTTATTATAATTTTTATTCTTAATCTTTATTCTTGTTTCTTATTATTATTTCTGAATGTTATTCTTCATTTTATCTTTTATTTTATTTTTTATTATTATTTTTTATTTTTTTCTGTTATTTTTTATTAATCTATTATATTATTTCTTCTTTATTATCCTTTTGTTTTTCTTTTATTTCTTTTCTTTTAAACTTTTATTTAATTATTTTATCCTGTGATCTATACTTTAACATTAATTAATTTTAATAATATTAAAATTAATTACATCAATTCGACATTTATTATAAATTATTAATAAAATAATTATGTAAAATATAATTTAATATTGGCATATAAATTTCTAATGGTATATGATGTGTTTTTACATTAGTATGTCCTAGTTAAGTAAGATCATCTGCAAATAAATCATCATTTTGCTTAAGGAAAATAGTTAAGTATTGCTGTTGTTTCCTTTTCAAAGAGGCAGTGATTTTAGTAATTCTTGGTTTTTCTCAGGAATATTTGAGAGTAATTGCAAGTGTTCCCATTCTTTTGGCATAATTTATAAGTATCCGTTAGCTTATTAAGTCGATAATGATACTAATATCAGTTTCCTAATCTTTGCCGATAGTATTTCCATTTTTCATTGGCAGGAGGTTAAATACTAAACTTTTGCTTTAAATTTTCATAATATTGTGAAGAATATCATTATCTTTGAATTAAAATTTGATCTGACTTAGGTTTAGCAAGGATTAGCTGACTAATATTATCCCCTAAAACTGCATAATATCGTTGTGAGATTAGAATTTCTTCTTTATATTTATCATTTATAGGGTTTATCACTGGTGTCAGTTGCTAAAATTGGTCAAATATAGGTTTTTCCTAATAGGTTATTAGAACTTGATATATAATTCCATTCCATTTAAAAATAAAAGCTCCTTTATTCCAATATAATTGTGCTTAACACTTGGTAAGCCAGTCATTACTAATAACTATATAATAATCATTTGATTCTGTAATGTTAACATTTATTGGAATCTCAATATTATCAATTTGAATTAGTATGTTCATTACCTGTTCTAATGGTTGAGAACATTTACCTTAAATATTTATTATTGTAATTTAGGAAGGACTTTCTATTTGTCATCCTAATTATTGTAAAAATAATTTAAACATCATACTTCCCGCTAATCCAGAATCTAAAATTAAATATATTAGTTTTTTATCTACATGAGTATAGCAATAAATAGTTTCAATGGCTTTTGAGGAGTTTGGATTTCCTTCAGTGTACTTACCCTCTGGAAATACTGTTAATAGTTTAAATAAAAATGTAGTAGATAAACAGGAGTAGAAGTCATATACGTAGGTAGCATAGCGGGCTTTTATTGTGATTGGCTAATTTTTGCAGATCATTTTTTATTATTGCTGAAATTCTATTAGTTAATAAAATCATATGATTTCTTAATGATTGAATCAAAAATAGTTAATTAAAAAATGTGAAGAATGAATAAAAAGATATTTATTAAAAAAAAATTTTAATAAATTAATAAATCGATTTTTATTATTAATTTATAAAATATTAAATAACAATTATACATTTTATATTGATCCTTCTTAAAATTTCACATTTGTTAAAGTATTTATAGTCCTCTCAAAAAGTATATCTATATTATCATGATCTATATTTCTATCTAACAAAAAATCTTCATCATTAATATTAGTATCATTAGTTTCAGCAATATCTTTTTCATCTATACTCTCATTTTTTTACTTTTATACCTAATGAGTTCAAAGTTTTCTGGAAAGCCTTACAATTTGTTTCAATTTCACTTATGAGATAATTAATATAATATCGACATCAGCTTTCTAATTTAAATAAAAAATATTTAAAATAATAAGTATGACCACAAATCAGAACACAACCTACCTCACAAGAATCTATGCAGCCTTCTAAATCATAATATCTATCTTTTTGTGAAAGACGTGCTGTATTTCAAGCCATCGACAATATTTTTACATCAATTTGAACTTTAAGTATTAGAAGTTCATAAGTTTTGAGTTTTGAATGTAAATTAAAAATAACTTTCGATTTACCAAGATTCTGATATACATCTGTAAAGAAATTTAAAAAGAAAAGTGCAGTACGCTTTTCAAGATATTCTAGCTGTTTTACTGAATATCTGATATTATGATTCTCAGCAAACATATTCGTAAAAGAATTTTTGCTACGCATCTGATTAATTATTCATGCTTCTTGAATAATCTGCTTTGCTGTATTTGATTTTTGTATTTGCCGTCGAAGTAAACTATAAAAATTTTCTACAAAATATCATTAAAAACGTGAAAAGAATCTGTAAGAGATTGTGAAATAGGGTAATTAATATTAGTCCAATAAAAAACATCACTTAAAAATATCAATGGCAATTTGTTATAATGTCTGCGTTGATATTGATAAAAAATAGTCTACATGCGAAACATTACTTCTATATATGCTTGCCAATTTTTACTATAAAATATAATAGAATAAAAATCTAAAACTAATGGAAGAATATTGTCAAGTAAATTAATAAGATATCTGATTTTCAGATCCTTAGACTGTTTAAATTTTCGCAATATTATCGAGTGAACTCAAGACCAGCCTTGAGATGCTAATTCTAATATCAAATTGATTTTATAAGGTTTTGGCTTTTTCGCTAATACCTTATTCTGTTCAAATACCCCATGAAAAAGTAAATCAAAAAATTGATAATTTAAAAGGAATACAGTTTCACGACTATTTAAGAATACATGTAAAGGTTCAATCATCAGAATTATATGCAGAATTTGATCTGGTATTCCAGAAGAATCTCTAAAATTGATTCAATTAATGATAGTACGTCATACGTGAAGTTATCTAGGGTAATCTATAGGTGCCACTAATACTTGTGTCTCCATATAAGTTTTTACTTCAGGTATATTTATTAAAAACCTAAGAGCATTTACATAATTATCAGTTGAATAAAGGGATCCTTCTTTTAAATTAATAAGTTTCGTATTTTCCATACTTCGATCAGTCTGACGTTGTTCAATTCTATCATCATAACTATGAATTAAGAGACGTTTAACTCGTTCGTCATGTGTTTCTAGCATAGATACTAATTTAGCAAATGTTTGCTTGCATCCTGCATAACTAAGTCATAAATAAAAAAAAAGGTAAATGTGCGTTCTCTATAATAATATCTGAGTCAATACCCTTTTCATTATGAATACTTTTTCCTTGATTAGGATTATTAAATGGAATAGATGGCATTTCTGGCAAGGCTTTTAAGAGTATTGTAATAAAATAGGAAACTTCATGTGTAGTTGTTATGTCACTACGACGATATTTATGAATATTGTAAAAATTATTCACGTTGAGAACAACTAAGCTTTCGATCTATTAAAAGATTATGTTATACATAGTCAATTAATAACTAATAAAAAAAAACTTAGAAATATTCATATACCTACATTTTCTGATAAAAACTTTCTACTGTTATCATATGAGCTTTTACGTGTTGAGCTTTCTATCTTGTAATAGTTTTACGTCTTATTATCAAGCCTGCACCAGCTAAGGTTTTAATCGCCAATGAAGATATTCCAGATACATCTAATAAAAGCTTAACTTTCGTCTTGATCCTATTAATAAATTTATTATTAAGTTCTGCTAAGAAATAATAAAATGAAACTAAACGTTTCTTATTCTTCTCGTTAGTCATATGATTCTTGGCTTGCGGATTAGTTCCAGCTACCAATTGACCAAAAAATCCTTTTAATGATAGCTCAGCTTCCTCAAGCATTCCATGAATTCTTCTGGATTGAAAATAGGTCTTTCATTATACACGCGTTGCCTTGTATACAAAACTCCCACCATTAATTTACTTTTTTACTGATAAAAATCAATTCTAAAGAATTATATGATTAATTTAAGTTTTACATGATGTTGATCGCTATTGAAGAGTTTGTTTAAAAAAAACAATCGAGAACATCATAGCAAATAAAATTGTTTACTTACCTAGCTTTGCTTCATCAAGCTCTGCATATACTTCATGATATACAGACTCCAGTTTCTGAAATTCAGATTCAGAGTATATAATATCACTATGTAAAACATAAGACCTACCTTAAAATTTTCTTACATACTCTTTAGAAATCCTTTCAAGTGCTGACATATAATTGGACGAGTTAATATATTCTGAATCAGTGTCAGTTTTATACAAAAAATAGTGACACATCATTGCCTCTTGTGATAGTTTGAAGAAATTGATTAATCGTTCTGAAGCCTTCTTGATAGTTTTTATTTCTGTACCATGTCGAGCTGTAGAAATATAGAGTTGATGCTTTGAATGC